TTCCGGTACCCAGTGGTTGGAAGGCTACGTGGTATTGCACACACTGATGGCCCAATGTCTTTTTCTTAATGAGTCTCGGCAGCAGACTCAAGGTGGTCTACTTCGGGGTTCTATCGGATGGTTTTCCTTGCCTGTCATATCCCCCCAAATATTCATTTCCCTCTGTTATGGGTCCTCACCTCTGGCCTCACACTTGGTCCGACACAGAGTAAACCTGTTTTGTTTGTAGGGGCTGAGTGACGTAACTCAAGATGTGTGATTTGTGTGTGTCCCTGTAATTTGGGCTTGAGTGACTTGAATATGCTGTAATGCCACTCATTGTTCTGGGGTTTTCCTGTTACCTCTTCCCAAGCGTCAGGGCAAAGCTGATATTCCTGGAGCTGGCTTTATTTCGAATTCCTTGATCATTTAATCCGTGCATTTTACACAGCGACGTTCAATTTTGTGAGAAATAATCCATACATTTAATGTCGAGAAAGAGTGACTAATTTTCCTTCATTCTGTCTTAGAATGTTGTTTCATAGGAAATTGTACGGTATTGCTACACTGATTACTTATTACTTATTAAACGTCTTCAGCGACTGAAAATTGCATATTTGTGCTCATTAGCTCCAGCATGTATGTTTCACAAGAAGCACAATGGAGTTTAATTACATTTAGTATTTGGGAGTTTAAATAAAATATTTTGGTTAAAATCGGGCAGTTTACATGGGGATCTGTATGCACTTCTGAGCGCCGACATTGTTTGGTGAGGATCCCTGCGTAGGGAATTCCCAGCCAGCCGCGCCGGAATTTTGACCTCGGCTGGAGAGATCTTATACCTGAACTATAAATATCCGGGTTGCTTTTCGAAAAAGATCGTCATTAACAACATATTTTGTACCTTTTTTTTCTTCATATTTTCACTGTCCATATATGAAGCTACGGAGTTCGACGAAGGTCCCAACGGGGTAGTTCTATTTTCCTGCCGGTCTCTGAAGTTGGAAGTAGATCCTACTTCTTAAACTTTGTGATTCTTATTAACGCGTATATTGCGGATGAATCCAAGAGATCAGTTGCACGTATACAGTTTATGAGGTACGTCTCACTGTCGAAGGAGGAACATCGGGATTATGTTCTAGGGATTATTTCCTAATTTTCTGACCATTATATTTAATTTATTCCATGTTCAGTGGCCCCCTTGTCGCCAAAGCATAGCGCATTCCCAGACTTCCAAGTCTGTAGGGTAGCTGTGAACATCCCCGACCCAACCACAAGGTTGGAGGACTACACTTGTCGGCTATCCTCGACTAGTCTTTCGAAAGTTTCGCAGTTACCTTCCATATATGTAGGCCTGAGAATGCGTTATGCTGTGGTAGTAACGGATTCGTTATAATAAAATAGAGTATTGTGGCCGACGAGTGTCCATTTCAGCTTAAACGAAACGGTGCGGTGGCGAAATGAGTATGACGGAAATAAAAGGACCAGTATATCGTTTTGTTTCATATAAATATTTATTTATAAAAATGTACAAAACTACGCAGGATGCAGAATAATATGATAATGAACAGTCGGTCGTGAGGCGAAAGTGACTTAATAGTGCTTCAGGATGCCACCGTAGCCGTAAGCGGCGGGGGCAGCGTATCCAAGTGGAGCGGCGTGCGTTGCATAAGCTACAGGAGCCACAGCCTTGGCGTAGGCAGGGGCTGCGTATGCAACGGGGGCGGCCACCTTAGCTACGGGGGCGGAAAGAGGCTCCCTGTGTACGACGGCGTTGAATCCGTTGTGTGGATCTGCGGTGTACTCAACGGTACGACGTGTGCCGTCGGGATCTACCAGGCTGTAGCTGCCCTGGACAACATCACCGTCGCGGGATTCGTGCTGGCTCTTGGAGTCGCCGGTCAGGTGATCTTGAATATCGTAAGCGTAGCTGTACTGGGGGTGAGGGTCGTAGTCTGTGTCGATAGCCACGGGAGCGGCGACCTTAGCGACGGCTGGGGCTGCATAAGCCACAGGAGCAGCTACCTTAGCATATGCGGGGGCGGCGTATCCAACGGGGGCGGCGTAAGCGACGGGGCGGCATGGGCGGCGTATCCAATTGGAGCGGCGTATCCAATGGGGGCAGAGGGGGCGGCATATCCAATGGAGGTGGCGTATGCTGGCCCACTGACGATCCCCGCCTTAGCAACTGCCACGAAGGCTGCAAGCACGATTAGCTGAAAGCAACGAAGCTTATCGTTACATTCTTGGAAATAAGTTTTACTTACGCTATGTCGCAAATGCGCACTAGAGTGTTTATGTGCAGGTTGAACCACAGAATGAATCCACAACTGTAATGTGTGTGGTTACGCTGTAATAAACGTAATTGTGGGGTTTCATCCCATTAAAATCATGCTTCTTTTCGCGAACCACATGCGACGGTTATCGTGAGACGAAATTGTATAATGTTGGTTGGGTTCTACGTTCTGACCCAGGAACTCGCTATCCGCGTACACCTCTCATCTCGCCGTCTTTAGGTTTCAAACTGAATGTGTTCAAGTCCACGAACATATTGCAATTTCAGAAGTCGTGGTACATTTCTTAGATCGCGTCACTTTCAAGACTTTTCCCCTGTGTGTGTTATGTTAATTGATATCTGTGGGGGGGGGGGCTTTGGCGAAGAGAGTGACGCCAAGGTGAGTTCTTTTTAGAGTACTGCGGTTCTCTTACCGTGTGTAGTACGACAGGCTTGACCAGCCGGCTTTTTGTCTCGTATCCTCGGAGCTGGAGGGTGTTTTTGAGTATTAATATTCTTGTAACTGCACAGTATACGTTCTGACCCTATCATGGCTGGAGTAATTTTTAAACTAAAAAGTCTCTTCAAGTATTTGAATCAGTTTTGGTGTTGGAGGTCGAAAACAGAAGGTGTCTGTCGAATTTGAGGCACAGTTATTAACAATTATGCCTGTCTACAAGCTTGTGTCGATTTTACTTAAAATGGGCTGATTAATAGTTAATAGCAAAACCCAAACAAAGCCTGCAACAGGGCACTGTCCTGCGCCAGGTTCATTATCCATTTATTATCACAACGTCCTTAAGATTTGTATTTATGCTGTCCAGCCACAATTCATATTCAATACTCAAACGGACGTTTACGTGGCGAGTTGGATAAAATTTGATGTAAACGTGGGAACCCTCTTCGAATGACCACTCTTTATATCTGTCGGACCGAGTTCCGTTTATGACACTAGGAACTTACTTTACATTAAGAACTCTGGAAGAAAACGTGTTATCGGCCACTACTCGAATAACTTCAACGAACGAAGTAAAATTGTATTCGTGAGGTACCCTATTCGATTCTTGGCCGGAACACTGCCTTTAAATAGGCTACGACTTCCGTCCTAATCCTTTCCTGTCTATCTCTTACGCCGAATTACCTGGAGTTGATACAGCGTCTTTAAATAGCTTACCATTTACCTGTATTCTGCTTAATTCACACACATGAAATCGCCAAGTTTTGTGTCACAGTGATCAAGACGCACCTACCTTGAAGGCCATTGTTCTGTTCTGTGTCGATACTCGCCGCGCTGCCCTGTTTATATACTTTTGCGTTGTGATGTAAGGAGTTTATCCCGCTTGCTATGACGACGTCCTTTCACTTGTATACCACGCCTTGGCCATATTGCTTCCCCCCGGGGATAAGACAATAATTCGGTTGGAAGGTAAATTGTGTGAGTCATGGCGCAACGCGCGGAGAAAGTGATGCAGTGCAGCAAGTCCCACTGCCATTAACAAAGCCGGTTAATTCCTTCATAGCCGATAAGTCGCTCCGCCAGTGTCTTGACATTAACACTAAACACAACGTCGGACGTCATAATATAGGACGATTGTAAGTGATGGATTGAGAGGAAACTAAGTGATCTGTC